ATTGAAATTTGACAATAATTAGTAATTGTCAAATTTAAGAAGAAATGTTGGTTATCTATAAAAGTTAAATTTGGTCCTCTGGACATTCAAAAAAAACAAAAAGCAAAACAACAACAAAAAAAATGTAGAAACGTTTCGTCTTTCATCCGAAAGACTTCCTCAGTCTGAGGTGCTGTATTCAGCTCAGTCTTATAAATAGCACCTTCTCAGAGTAGATCGACCAGTTTTGCTGCTGACAAGCAAAACCAGCTGCTCACATGTTCAAGAATTGAGCTATGGGGGCCAAGATGGTGTAGAGGCAGGGCAGCCGGCTTGGGACCCAAAAGTCCCAGGTTCGATCCCCAGTCACTGCACATCACGTGGTGTCTTTGGGCAGCACACCTCATCCCCAAAATGCCTCCCGGGCGCTTTCAATAGCTGCCCACTGCACCACCTGGTGGTGGATGGGTTAAATGCAGAGACTAATTTCGCCATTGTATGGAAACATACAGTGCTGACATTGTGATGACATTATTATTATTATTATTATTGTTCCTGAACTGGATTATTGAGCATGCATCAGGAAATGTTGGTTAATTTTGTGTGTAGTGCCTGTTATTGACCACTGGATGGCAGTATAAGACTGTTTGATACATAGATATATAATCACTAAATGCCTCATCGGCTGCTGCGGCATAGATATCATATAAACACTAGATACAGCATTGACTGCTGCGGCGCAGGATTTTCGGCCGCCATCTTGGAACGGTCGTCCTTATTTGGTTAAAGCAGAAGATGTCTCAGCACTTCGCAGCTTATTTCTGTTCTAATCGACGGACTGTTGACGTCAGGTCTCGGGGGATAACTTTTCACAAGTAAGATGAACATATTATTGTTAGTGTTTTGTGAATATAATATTACTGTACTGTATTTATGTCCACCAGCTGATGTTATGTTCAGTGTAACACGGTGTTCAGCTGCAATGAAGCTAACTGAGATCTGATGACAGGAATATTTTTCCAAGCATATTCACTATTTTAGTAGCTTTGGTTCATTATCAAGAGATATGTATCATAATTGGAGTTTTGTTTAAATTGTTTTTGTATGTATGTTAGTTAAGTATGTTTTTGTGTAGACACAAATCTCCTGTTTTCATTTTGAAGGTTTCCCAAAGAACAAGATGTGAGGAAGAGGTGGAAGTATCTTTGAGGTGGATTCATCTGAG